ATGCACAGTTTGCAGCTTCAGTCGCCTTTTTGGTAATTTCATGACTGCGCCTTATATTCGCGTACAGTTGAAGAGTGTGTGACAGGAAAGTTTGTTTTACTGACATATATTCTAACAACATCTCATCAGACTGCAGTTCACTGTTGTGCTACTGAAGCAAGACAAAAAGGGACAAAAACTGTTGTTTTGAGTGGAGGGCCAAGCTTAAGTCAGTGCTGGCCACCCCCCTGGCTCCGCCCCCTGGCTCCAATGACTTGGAAGTCAATGGGGCCCAGAAATTCATACAGGGTGAGTAAATGATGACAGAATTTTAATTTTTGCATGAACTTTCCCTTTAAAGGAACAAATGTTGCTGAACACATGATTTAGTGAATCAGATTGGCTGGTTTTGTCAATTATTTTTATTAGATGAACCCCATTAACTTTAAACATGTTCTTAAAGTCCCTGTGAGATTTGAAGCTAATATTTCTATAATTCATCGACACATTGGCATATTCGTGGTTCTCTAATGCCGGTTAATGATCACATGTAAACACCTAAAATATTATTATGACTTAGAATACAAATGATAGAATATAATTTATACAGTATAAAGTTATGACTTATTGTGACTAAATTATGACTCGTGAAAAACAGCAATTCCCAGACTTTTTTTGTAAGCCAAACACATTAGAGCTGAATTTTCAACCAGTTCTCTGACGTCAGGTAATGGTCACATGACATGCATGTAAACAAATTATATAAAATATTAATTATAGTTTGGTATGTCATAACTATGACTTTTTATCTCATAATTATGACTTAGTAGCGACACTAGGTGCTGGAAAATACACAAGTACAGCAGTCAAACCATGTAGCGCATGTTTACATAGAAAAACAACAACAACAAAAAAGCAGTGAAGTGGAATGCAGCTAAGCTGCTTTATAAATGACATTCACAGCATTACTAGAAAATGCAACCAATGTGGACAAGCATGTATCAAAAACAGTTAAAAACATTCCAAATGGAATAAACGGATATTATGCTGACAGCTCAAGAGAAAGTAAACAACATACGTGCGTCCCTCTAGAATTGTAAAAGCAGAACTGCTTGCTCCTCATGCTGAACGTTTATCAAAGAAACTGACTGCAAGTTCTCATGCCAACAAATGAAAGAAAAAGAGCGAGGAGCTTCTCAAAGGTAACAGTCGTATGAAGCGCATGTGTGTCTGTGAAGTGTGTAAACATCAACGCGGATCTGTTTCAGCGAAACTCTACCCTGATTATGATGATCTCTGGAGTTAAACATTAACCAAACACAGAGCAAATCTGACCTGATTCTGGAGGATGCAGCAGCACAATGGAGGTCCAGCGTTCACCTGACTACAGGACGAAGCATCCGCTCTCATTACATAATGCGTGTTAGCGCTCATGCAAAATGATGCATCACTGCATCCGCATCCTCCATAACAACAGCAGCAGCATCAGCATCAGCATCAGCATCAGCATCCAGCGCGCCGCGTCTCACATACTCACTGTCTCGCCGCGGATCCGTCTGTGCTTCTGCTGCTGCGGCGTAAACGAACGCGTGAAGCCGCGCGATGCGCTGCCGCTGACGCCCGCGACGGAGATGAAGCTGAGCGACATCAGCTGAGAGACACACCCACCTGCGCCCCGCCCCTTTTGGACGCGACAGGACACGCCCCCTTCTGCTTATTATAAAGCGATTATAAGAGTTTAAAACTTAGAGTTAAACTAGGAAACCAGCAATAATCAGTTCATACTATAAAGATCCTCCAGGGGCCGGATTCACGAATAAAACAATTCTTAACACTAACAAAGAATAACACTGCAATGGTCTTATTTTCTAAGTTAAGCATAAAGATAAGTCTTTTGTGTTCACAAAAACATCTCTTAAGAATGTTATCTTTTTTCTCTAGATTTTTTGAAAGGCTAAACCAAAAAAAAAAATCATTGTAATAACCTCTTCAAATTAGATTTACCTCCAACTTGTCTTAAATTATACACTCTCTTCTTAATAATATTAGACTTTCATGAATTGCACTTAGGAACATTCACCAAAATCTTCTTAGAATTTATCTGAAGAAATTATTTTATTTTTCTTTCTTTAGTCTAGTAAATAATGAGATGGTTCTCAATGGCCTGTGGTGTGTAAATTATGTTTTGTGTATTGTTTATGATGGACAGTTGGGTTTTTACATTTTATATTTATTATGCGAGTTGTTAATGTGAAGATTATGAAATGTTTTTTAAATACAATTTTTCTTTCTCTTTTTTTAACAGTCTAAATTGAGCTCTAATTCTACTTAAACACTCTTTTACTAGAATATTAGACGAAACTGTAAAAAATATCACCAACTGTATTGCCTTTCAGGTATGCGGTTTCATTTGTTAACAATAAATGTTAATTTCTACATTCAATAATAAAAAATGTTTTAATAAAAATAATGCATGTTACTTTAATGCACTGTGAACTAACATGAACAATGAACAAATGCATTTTTATTATCTAAAAGATTAATAAACGATATAAAACATATATTGTTTATAATTAGCTCAATGCATTAACTAATGTTAACAAATGCTGTAAAGTGTTGCTGTTTTTACCATTAGTAAATGAGATTGCTGTGTTGTTTTTGCAACAGTAAACTTCAACCCAACAGGCATAAACAACAAACTCAGAACGAATGCTGATGATACATGCATGCACAGCTTTAAAAACAAACTCATGTCAAACATTCGAGACGATCAATGCTTGTGCAGCAGCACGTACGTTTACTCATAATACACTGTCAGTGCAAATATCGGTTTCCTTCAGCTTCACATCATTTTTCTCTATGAACACTCATACAGCACAAGCTTTAGTGTTAATCGTGGTTTAACATGCACAACTCACACTTACACTCACAAACACTAGACTGAAGACAACAGAAAAACATCACATTATATATAACAAACCCATCAAATCTTTCTCTCCATTCACAAAATCATCGGTGACATCAACAACTTCTCAAGGTTACTACGGCGATGGTCTCCATCCAACTGGAGCAGAAGCTGGTGTCATGTGACGGAGAACGAGGTGCTGGATGGAGTCTAATTAGAGAGAGAGCTGAGAAATTAAGGCACAGCGGAGCTCCGCTTCCCATGATGCACTGCTGCATTCAGAGTTCATTTAGTGAGATGCATCTGATCACTGAGGAGTGTGATGATAGATCAGCTTTGGAACATAAATTGTCATTTTTTTATATTGCATTAAATGGCTTCAAACAAATATAAACGTAAACAAAAACGGTATAAATCCTCCTTAGACTCAGTGTTTTTATTAAAATGATTCATCGCGATTAATTGCATCCAAAATAAACGTTTTTGTTGACATAATATAAGTTTGTGTACTGTGTATATTTATAAAAGCACACACATACAGTATACATTTTGAAAACATTTACATGTTTACATTCATAAAATTTATATTATAATCGCGATTAATCGCATCCAAAATAAACGTTTTTGTTTACATAATATAAGTTTGTGTACTGTGTATATTATGTATATATAAAAGCACACACATACAGTATACATTTTGAAAACATTTACATGTTTACATTCATATAATTTATATTATATATATATTTAATATATAAACATTACATATGTTTCTTAAATATATACATGCATGTGTTTGTATTTATATAAACATAATAAATATACAAAGCACACACACACACATACTGTATATTACGTGAACAAAAACTTTTATTTTGAATGCGATTAATCGTTTGTCAGCACTAGTATTTATACTTTAAAATCCTAGTAGCCTATGTCTCTGTTATTATATTCATAAGGACAAATGAAATACTACACTACTACAGATTCGCTACAGATGCACATAAATGAAATGTACTCTCTCTCATGCTGCTCAAACCCTATTGACTTTCAAGCCACACAAAGGACCGAGAAAGTGTCCAAAAATTCATCTAAACATTCATAATCAGTAGTCCGTATGAGTTGTGAATTATATGAAGTTAGTTGTTTTGTGTGAAAAGTGAACAGTATAGTGTTATTTTAGCGTCATTATACTAAGATTTTGAATTAGATTGTATTTTTTATACTTTGTTTTCACTTTAATTTTAGTTAAGGTTTTAGTCATTTTGTTGCATGCTTTTGCAATTTTTACAAATTTTATTAGTTTTAGTTTATTTAGTTTTAGCTATTTTAGAAATAGAGAACAAAAACAAGAAATGTTGCCTTGGCAACTTGTTGAAATAAAACATGTTTACACTTTAAAATTGTTATTTCAGTTCAGCTCATGTTTATTTTAGTTCAAGTATGGTTGCAAAAAAAGTGAAATGTTTCCAGAAATGTTTAAATGTAGGCTACTGGGATTTTTGGAAACTATCTGAAATTTTCTGGACATTTTCCGCTACTTGTAACCTTAATTTCAAGTAACAAAATGTTTTTTAAAGGTCTTAATTTTACTGTTAGTTAACTAGAATAACTGTGGAACAGACCCACGTTTATTATTCACTGATACAGGTCTGAACAACATGAGGTTGAGTAAATGTCATTTTGGGTTGAACGGCATCATAATTCCAGTAAAATACTAGAATATCAAATATGGTGCAATATGATTCTGGTTAAAAGAGGGAATAGAAATACTAGTTTCTCGACAGACATTACGCCACTGATCACCAATCAAATAAAAACAGCCCTGAATATGTTAGTTTTCACACTTGAGTCAAGAATTCAGTTCTGTTTGCATTCACATTGCATGTGGACTAGAAAGTGGACTCTGAATGTTGATCGGGTTTTAGTCCAATTTCTGTTCACACTGTAGTTGTTTGCAACCTGGGCAACTAGATTACATTGAGTATTATATGAATTATTCTTATTTATGTATAAATTGAATATTAAAGATGATTATGCATTATAATATGTTGACATGAAGGCTGAGATAGTGAGGTGAATATTGAATATGAACTGAATTTGAATTGAGGATACAGAATTGCCAATTAAGTAGAATTAGAGATTAGAAATTCATTAGACATTTAATTTTTCACTACAAATGACCCATAAACATACACTCATCACACAACATTTAGGCCATTTTAAGAAACATTAGATGATGTTACTAATATTTTTAGAATGAAGAAATATGAATTGAATTCATATACAGCAGTTGGGGGGAAAAATTATTTTTTTTCACTTAAGTCACACTTATAAATGTCTGAATGTCATTCATTATTAACATGAATCTTACTGTAAAGTCCCGCCAAATTAAATTTGAGTTTATGGATTATTTAGCTATAAAACCCAGAATGCTCCAGTTTATCCCTGAGAATTATATACAGGGTCAAAACAATGTGGTGCTTTAATAACTTAATTTCAAATCAATTCTGAAAAATGAGTTCTACATATCAGCAAATAAATAGGCTAGTCACAATTAGTCTGAATTAATGACATTTAAAAACAACATGTTTTCACTGTTTTGTGATTGTTGAATTATTTTTAATTGTAATGTAATTAAATTCATAATTCCTGTCAATTCTACATTCAAGCTAACAAAAATACATTCGAAGTACATTTGGCTGCTGTTCCAATTAAGTTATGAAAACGTTATTTCCGAACATTTAAAACGTCCAAGTTTTTACAAATTTGAAAATGTTTTATTCTCGGTTATTCAAACATTTACAAGAACATTCCGTTTTAAAATTTCGCAAACATTACGGGAATGTTACTTTTGAATGTTCTCGGAATGTTCTGAAACAATTAGCAACATTTAAAAAACATCCAACTCAAACATTTCAGAAAATGATGTATAAATAACGTTTGATTTGAGAGCATTATTAAAGACTAGATAACATTCCTGGAGGAACGTTTGTTCAGAGAACCTCGACAGTTGGGAGCCTTCATTCGTTCTGTACATGCTCCGAGATCACCTGATCTAACAGCAGCTCTTGTTCAGCTTTGCTCTTGCTCTTCTGCCATTAGAAATGAAGTGCATAACTCTCGTCTGTTCACTCCTCCCTCTCAGCTCCACCAATCAAAGGCTCTGCATCACTGTCTTCTCCATCCACGCTCAGGTACTCACGGGCCCTGATGGGTTCAGGATGACCCTTGAGGGCCAAAGCGCACGCTATGAAGGAGAAGAGCAGGCCCAACATCTCGATGTAGAAGCTTTCTCCTGCAGACATGCAGAGCGCAGGGCTGCTTTCTGTCTTTCCTCGCTGCAGGTTGTGCTCAATCACACTCATACAGGCCACACACACACCCACAACCGTCATGCAGATGAACGCTGCGGGGAAATGTGAGAAAACACACATTAGTAAAACATCAGGTTCACATCCGGCTAGAAATGATGCTCTTCTCTGTCCGCCGCTTCATTATTGTAATTCCAGAGACTAGAGCTGTTTGCAATATCAAAAGACTCTCAGTATTTCTGTTTCCTGACTTATTTGATCCAACTACTAAGAGTAAAGACATTTTTATACAAAAACGATGGAACACCATGAGTTCACGTGACAATGTTTACAACTGTTATCTTTGTAGGGTTGTGAAGTGTGCCATAAAAATGTTAAATTAAATAAAGAAATAATTTAAGAATAAAACAATCCAAATAAAACACTTAAGAAAAAATATATTTTGTTTAGCTGCATGCAATGTGACCAACATCAAAGAACTGTAAACGTGCAAAAGTGTTGCTCAATTGTTGAAACATTAACTTTCTCAGAGGGACTTCAAGTTAATATTTTCGCTCAAATGGGTTCAGCTGACAAAACGCCAAACATCACAGGTTAAGATGGTAAAATATTTTAACTAATAGATATCACCATATTCCGCTAGTTAATTAATGACAGCGCATTAAAACAATTGTTTTGTATTACAAGTTTTTTTAAATTGTACATTTTAATATGCAAATGGTTATTTATCTAATTAAATATGCACTCATTTGCATACATTCCCACTGGAAAAAGCCAGATTCTAAATTCTTGTTTGATTTTGTTGTCATATTTTGGATTTCTTTTTTTTTTATCACTCCATAAATCAGAAACTATTGTCAACAACCTGAAAAAAAAAATACAGGTTAAGATGGTAAAATATTTTAACTAATAGATATCACCATATTCCGCTAGTTAATTAATGACAGCGCATTAAAACAATTGTTTTGTATTACAAGTTTTTTAAAATTGTACATTTTAATATGCAAATGGTTATTTATCTAATTAAATATGCACTCATTTGCATACATTCCCACTGGAAAAAGCCAGATTCTAAATTCTTGTTTGATTTTGTTGTCATATTTTGGATTTCTTTTTTTTTATCACTCCATAAATCAGAAACTATTGTCAACAACCTGGAAAAAAAAAAAAAAACACTTTTCAGTGTGTTTTTAGGAGTAAAATGTTATATAAATCTGTGGATGATATATGTGACCATAGACGACAAAACCAGTCACAAGGGTCAATTTTTCAAAATTTTGATTTATACATCATCTAAAAGCTGTATAAATAATCTTTCCATTGATGTATGGTTTGTTAGGATCGGACAATATTTGAAAATCTGGAATCTGAGGGTGCAAAAAAATCTAAATATTGAGAAAATCATCTTTAAAGTTGTTCAAATGAAGTTCTTAGCAATGCATATTACTAATCAAACATTAGGTTTTGATATATTTACGGTAGGAAGTTTACAAAATATCTTCATGGAACATGATCTTTACTTAATATCCTAATGATTTTTGGCATAAAAGAGAAATGTATAATTGTGACCCATACAATGTATTGTTGGCTATTGCTACAAATATCCCCCAGCGACTCAACACTGCTTTTGTGCTGCAGGCTCACATATATATATATATGTAAATAAAATTAATATGTAAACTTTGCTGTATGTAAAAAAACAACAACTCAAGCGTATGTACTAGAATTGAATGTACAGATGCAAATAGATAAAGTGCAATAAAATAAACACTTAAATACGTGTTTTAGAAGTTTTCTTTCCACTAGTCTGAAAGAAGAGATAAGTTATGGAAGCTAAATAGACCTCAAAACTGACCAGTGCATGAAAAAACAATTCTGTCAATCAAAAATAAAATAATTCTTAATGGGACAATTTACATTCAACTAGATTTATGGACAATTATTGACGACTTCTGAATCCTTTTCCCACGTTACTAACAGTAACAGTGCAGTGAGTTCACGTTTAATGTGAGGCACCTGTCAAGAAGTGCAGAGACGTCACCAGCTTTGAGTGAGTGACAGCTGCTCCGAGGAAATCCAGCAGGAAAGAGGAACTGGAAAACAGGACGGCGCTGTAGCAGAGAACGGCTAGAGAGTACAGCAGCCACATTCCCCATCCATGAAGCCCACCCAACGGACCTACACCAGACAAAACCAGACAAAACCCTTCACTGCTGTGCTGTTACTGCATGCAGAGCATTGCATTTATCGCCTTCATGTTTTACAATTTTAGTCAATGTTTTACGTATAGTTTGTCACATTTATTTTATGCTGTTGTTTTGGCCGGGCCACTCTTGAAAAACAGATTATGATTTCAAAAGACTAACTTGGTAAAATAAAGGTTTTAAAAGAATAGTTCATTACAAAATTAAAATGTTCTGTAAATGTGCTCACCCTCAGGCCTCCGAAGATGTGAGTTTGTTTCTTGTTGCACCAGTGGATGCTCTGCAGTGAATGGGTGCCGTCAGAACGAGAGCTGATAAAAACATCACAATAATCCACAGCACTCCAGTCCATCAGTTAACATCTGGAGAAGACAAAAGCTGAAACTAATCCAGCATTAAGACGCTTTTAACTAAAATACCATTGAGTCCATAATAACTCTTCCTCCGGTGAAAAAGTGCATCTGCTGTTGCCTCTCGCATCAAAATCTAGCCACATATTTGTTTAGAGCTGTTTAAATGCTGCAGATTTCTCTCCTGATTCACACCAGACCAAAGCGTTATTATGGACACATATTTGAGTTAAAAGCGTCTTAATGCTGGATGTGTTTCAGCTTGTGTCTTCTCCAGATGTTAACTGATGGACTGGAGTGCTGTGGATTATTGTGATGTTTTTATCAGCTCTCGTTCTGACGGCACCCATTCACTGCAGAGCATCCTTTGCTGAGACACTGATGCAGTGCTACATTTCTCCAAACCTGATGAAGAAACACTCTCATCCTGATCTCGGATGGTCTGCAGGTGTTCACAGTGATAAACAGAGCTGTAAGATCACACCTGTGTCTGTGAGATTCTGATAGGCGTGCAGTGTGAAGGCCACACCGTAGATGAGTTTGCTGCTCGAATCAGAGCAGTTCTGGACCTGGATCCAGTTGGGATCTGCGATAGACGTGCACAGCGACACCAGCGTGAAGCACTGGCACACGGCCGCAGGGGTCAACGCCAGGGTCATGCTGACCTGAGAACAACATGAGCGCATGAGAAGAGAAAACAAGATTAGTGGATCTTCAGTAGAAACGACTCAAAGTAAAAATGCACATCTCACCTTATTCACAGACTTCAAACGCTGCAGCACACTCTGAGTGTTTATGGTTCCTCATAAACAGAGTACCTCTGGAGAAAGAGCAATGAAGCACCAGCATCATTATTACTCTCTGGACCTGAGACTGTCACACATGAAAGTGCAGGGGACACCGGGGCTAGTTGTCACACTATATATTTTAGAGAATATTCTCATGCATGTATATATAACCTGCTCTTAGATGCTGAGACACTGATGCAGTGCTACATTTCTCCAAACCTGATGAAGAAACACTCTCATCCTGATCTCGGATGGTCTGCAGGTGTTCACAGTGATAAACAGAGCTGTAAGATCACACCTGTGTCTGTGAGATTCTGATAGGCGTGCAGTGTGAAGGCCACACCGTAGATGAGTTTGCTGCTCGAATCAGAGCAGTTCTGGACCTGGATCCAGTTGGGATCTGCGATAGACGTGCACAGCGACACCAGCGTGAAGCACTGGCACACGGCCGCAGGGGTCAACGCCAGGGTCATGCTGACCTGAGAACAACATGAGCGCATGAGAAGAGAAAACAAGATTAGTGGATCTTCAGTAGAAACGACTCAAAGTAAAAATGCACATCTCACCTTATTCAGACTTCAAATGCTGCAGCACACTCTGAGTGTTTATGGTTCCTCATAAACAGAGTACCTCTGGAGAAAGAGCAATGAAGCACCAGCATCATTATTACTCTCTGGACCTGAGACTGTCACACATGAAAGTGCAGGGGACACCGGGGCTAGTTGTCACACTATATATTTTAGAGAATATTCTCATGCATGTATATATAACCTGCTCTTAGATACAAACCATGTGACAACTAGCCCCGGTGTGTACTTAATAATAACACAGCCCAGCGAGTCCGGCGTGACGTCACTGAACGAAAACGATGTTTCTCACCTTGAAAGTTACAGTATCCCTCGTAACATTATAAAATAAAAAAGCTATGATTTGACGCACATTAATGCATTCAGACATACTGCGCACTGAACAACGCGTCGATAATCCGATTGGACCGGAACAAAGAAGCTCAGTCTGTCTACATTTAAAACGCTGCTCGTGTTATTGAAGTCTGCAGTAAATAAAAGCTCATGGCCCGGGGCTAGTTGTCACACTATATATTTTAGAGAATATTCTCATGCATGTATATATAACCTGCTCTTAGATACAAACCATGTGACAACTAGCCCCGGTGTGTACTTAATAATAACACAGCCCAGCGAGTCCGGCGTGACGTCACTGAACGAAAACGATGTTTCTCACCTTGAAAGTTACAGTATCCCTCGTAACATTACAAAATAAAAAAGCTATGATTTGACGCACATTAATGCATTCAGACATACTGCGCACTGAACAACGCGTCGATAATCCGATTGGACCGGAACAAAGAAGCTCAGTCAGTCTACATTTAAAACGCTGCTCGTGTTATTGAAGTCTGCAGTGAATAAAAGCTCATGGTTGCGGATTAAAACGCGGAGCGTCCTGAGAAGAGCCGAATCAACATGAAAGTACACAAAGCACACTGCGCATGCGCAGCTCGGCGCACACAGCGCCCTCTAGCGGCCAGACGCACATACGCCACATATCACATCACGACTGACTTATGCGTCTCAGAATTTGATATCTAGACATTTAGATCAGATAAAAATGTATGATTCAAATGGTCGAAATGTCTAAACTTTAATGCTCCAACATATATTCTATACTCGAGACATTAGGCTTGACGTTCTTTGTTTTACAATATGTATTGAGCTTTAATTTAAATTTTTTATGTTTTATTTAGTTTGTTTACTTATACTTTAATACAGTGTTTTTGTTGTTTTTTTCTCTTTTCTTTGGGGTGGGGTGGGGGGAAACTATTCTTTCATGATTCTCCTCTATCTGTATCCTGTTATTATTGTAAAAGTTCAATAAACAGATTTAATACATTTTACAAAAATGGTATGATTCAAGCTTCAAGCTTCAGCTTTAACTGTACTAAATTAAAAGCTGCTGATTTTTGTGTTTTTGCAATGGCTGCTGCGGTGTTGACGAATACAATTCGGAAACTCCATTATAAATATTTAATCACAAACAAAATGAAACAAATTAATATTTAATTGTGACATTGCTATATTTTGTGGTTTACGTGCTTTGTTCTTTGTAGTCTCATTTTTTCCACTTATATGTCATTTATGACAGGGAATACTATTTAATTAATAGGCTACTTTTATGATCTAAATTTAGTATAAATGTAAGAATGGGGAAATAAGCCTTTGTTTTTAATTTTGCAGGTCAGCAATACCAAAAAACAACATTATGTTTGAAAAGTCTGTACATTTTTGTAAACATTTTAATGCTTTTAACTTTTTTTTTTACATGCTTTCCTACTCTCTCAGGAAAACACTGGGTAGAACTAAAATAAAGATGACCAAATAATTGAAAGAAAACATGTATAATGTGAAAAGACACAATAAAAGCCCTGTTTGAGCCGTCGCTGTAATAAAATAAACTGTAGTTTGTGCTTTTTGTATTCGACAGGACAGTCGATAGTGAGAGGAAATTACTTTGAATAGTTTCTGAACAATACATATTTATGACTTTTTCAGCTGTTTGTGAAAACCAAATAATCAGTTTTACAAATCATTTAATAGATCGACAAACAAATGAAATATTGCAGACCTGAATATTACTAGAAAAATATAGTCTTAAAATTCCTTGTTTTCATTTACATTTGTGGCCCTGGAGCACAAAACCAGTCATAAGGGTCAATTTTTCAAAATTGAGGTTTATACATCATCTGAAAGCTGAATAAATAATCTTTCCATTGATGTATGGGTGTGTGTGTCTGTGTATGTATCTGTGTGTCTCTGTCTGTGTCTGTCTGTGTCTGTCTGTGTCTAAATACAGTATATATATATATATATATATATATATATATATACATACTTTTTTTTTCCCCCAGCGAACAGAAATCTTTTTAATAGTTTAATAGTACTGCAAAGACGAATGCTGGCAGGCGTCACTCACGTGATCTTCTTATGAGCCGCTATCTTGTCTCTTGTGTACGTGTCCAGCTGAACTTCCAGCATCTCGGCTCTGCAGGAACAAACTCATCCTTTTGAATATGCAGATGCCCTCAATATCACATTCGAGAGCACAAGCACTGATCGTACCTGATCTTCTGCAAACCAGTCTCACATTTGGCCTGGAAGTACTCGATCTTCTTCCGGTCCAGATCTTTCTGAGCCTTGAGCCGGAGATCCAGGACGAGACGCTGAAGGATGTTCATGCACTTCAGCAGCTCCTAATCAAGCAAACACATCGTTATCAGACACTTCTCATGTTTAATGATCATCCACCTTCAGAAATATCTTAGTTCAGTAATATTGATACTATTACAGTTCTAGTTAATATTCTGAATTAGATTTTATTTTAGTTATATATTTTAGTTAAAAATTTAGTAATTTTGTTGTGTTTTTTTAATTAAAAGAATTTTAATTTATTTCGTTGTAGTTGTTTTAATACTTCAAGTTAAATAAAAGAGAAATGTTGCCTTAGCAACTAGCTGAAATAAAGTACATTTTGTAACATTTAATTTTGTTGAAACAAATGTTTTTATGGTTTTAGTTAACTATAATAAGCCTAGATACAACCCTCAAAACATCATCTGTTACATACTACTCTAATTATTTTAAGTCGAAATCAACTTTAACAACTAACTATTCTTTTGCTTTAGTCTATTTAAGAGTTGTAGAAGTGTGATGATGATAATAGTTCTATAATCTGAAAATGATTAATTTGATGCATGCTTTATATTAGGGCTGCACAATTATGACAAATCATAACTGCCGATTATTCCCTTTAAATTGTGATTATCACAATTTACAATGAATGATGTTATCTTTATGAAAGCGTCGGAAGCAACTGCATGACATTTTTATATGAAAATAAATAAACGGAAAACACTCAAACTGAAAAACGTATTACTTTTCTATAGAATCGAGCCTCAAATGTTAACTACACATTAGTCTGGTTTCTTCTTTAAATAAATATATAAAAAAGTAAAAATATGCATGATATTATAATGTTATACTAAGACTAAAATTAAAACAATGGAAAAACCCTTAAGATAACCTGCATAAAGAACAACACTGCTTTTGTGCTGCAGGGTCACATATATACCGGATTGCATGATCTGTTCTCTGTTACGTGAGAATGGGACGTCCTAACAAATGAGTCTGGCCTCACTCACACCGTCATAAGATCTAAATGTTCTCTCAGTAACTTGTTTCGTCTGTTGTGCCGCTATAATAACTCATGCTTCTGCTGAAATAAGAGCGCGATGTCTGCTCTGCACTCATCCAAACACACAACAGCAGTCGCCGAGGTTCATGTCGTACCTTGTCCTCCGCTGTCAGAGCGCTGGAGGCTTTACTGAAGCGGTTCTCCTGGACGATTTCTCGCAGAACCCGATGAATGCTCTCCACACGCAGCCAACACAACCTCGGAGCGTGCAGCTCGCGCTCGGCCTGCAGAACACACACCAGAGCTATTACCCTCAACTATTATGCTTCTGCTGAAATAAGAGCGCGATGTCTGCTCTGCACTCATCCAAACACACAACAGCAGTCGCAGAGGTTCATGTCGTACCTTGTCCTCCGCTGTCAGAGCGCTGGAGGCTTTACTGAAGCGGTTCTCCTGGACGATTTCTCGCAGAACCCGATGAACGCTCTCCACACGCAGCCAACACAACCTCTGAGCGTGCAGCTCGCGCTCGGCCTGCAGAACACACACCAGAGCTATTACCCTCAACTATCAAAGTAACTTACCCGGATGTTTTACACTTAGTGACCGCTCAACTAAGGTTGGAGAGTAATAATTAAATAGAATTATTAATTATAATGACAAAAAAAACTCAAGTTCTGTTTCGCTGTTAGTTTGTTGACATCCTCTCTTCGTTTATACTGTCCCGCCAGGACACTGCGCATGCGCTGCCTATAATGACGTCGTTTGAACTCTCAACCAATGAGATTAAGCCATGGATCCCATATATATATAATAAAAGTCTCTTGTTATAAATGACACTCACACTAAAATGCAGACAGATCAGTGAAGTCAGATTGTGTTTTGCCATTTTCTAAATAAATATTACGAATGTGTAAGTGCATAAAGTGGCATCTTTCTTATATATGATATATTTAAATATAAATAAAATTTCGGTCTCAAATTAAGAAATTAAGAGTATTTCAAAGATTTTTAGCGGCATTAAGAATCGAAATGAAATGTATTTGATAGAAAGAAATCCTGCAAAACTTGCAGTAACTTTAAGATATCTACATTTGTGTAAATAAAACGTACAAAAATTGACTCATTTCCTCATTTTACAAATATTGAGGACTTATTTTCCTATGCTTTTGTATCAAATATATGTATACGTTAAGATATAAACCTCTCTTATGCTTCAGTTCAGTAATTATTGGTTTTCAGTCCCTGTCAGTCATTAATAGTCTGCACAGCTGCACACAAAGTCCTGTCCCAAACCCTTCATTAAGCAGTGCACACAATTTAAGACACACATCATTTAAATTCTAATACACACAGTATTCCAATCTGCAATATAAATTTGTATTGCATGTGTTCATGTGATCATTCAGTTTTATGCAACAAGCATAAAGGCATTTTTGTTGTTGTTAATTTTTCTAATTTACCTGAACATGTTAGATAAATTGGGACAGTATAGCATTCAGCTAAAGTGTCATCCTACAAATTAAAAGATAATACTAATGTGAGAAATTGTTTTGTTCAGAAAATGCCACAGAGGAAGAGGAAAAGAGAGGAAAAATAAGACTAGAAATTTGTGACGATTGAGTTTTTGTGTGTAAAAAGTGCCTGTAAACAAACACATTCCTGCTCTCACACATACTTACACATAAACACACAAATATGAAAGCATGTGCACAGACGGACAGACACACACACACACTTAAGCAGACTGTTGGATACAAACACTTACAGTACACACATAAACAAACAGATGAAATCGTGGCATTTTGATACTATACATAATACATTGTACTTTTGTTGAATTGATTAAATTTTTTGTCTGCTGGAGTGTTTTATTTCTTTACATGTGTACTTCAGCTGGAGTGGTTTAAAAATTCTTTAAATTTATGCTTAAGTGTTTTACTTCAATAAACATGAATTGTTTGGGTTAGCAATTTATAGCTCAATCCACTGGTATTTCTATTTTCTTTTAAATTCTGAAATTGTTCAATTAAAAAAAGTATTAGTACAATGTCCTGTTGTACTAAATTGTATTATCAAAGCACAAACTAGATAACAATGTGTCCCAATTTACCTAAAAAGGCGAGTGAAAATTTGTTTAAATAGTGTTGGTATGGATTTATTTGTATTTATTACCAAAAAAAAGTGTCCCGCTCTTGCGGACTCCACCCAATATAATGTAACCTTGAACAAAGAAAACAGGAATAAGGCTAGGAATACAAGTTATAGAAAAAGGAGGCGGCTACAAGCATTTCTTCACTCATACACATTCTCAATGTGACTGAAAATAAAGGAACTGAATGGTGACTAATCATAATAGGGCTGTAAGAGGCCACAAAATCATTATTTAATTGTATTTATCATCATATACATACATTTGTTATTCTCAGGAACTGTAATTGTGATCAGAAATGTAAATACTACATCCTTATGTACAGAGGGGATGTACTCATTTATGCTGTGTACTATACATATTTTTGTACAGTGTCCCAACTTTTTTGGAATTGGGTTTGTATTATTTACAGTACATATATATATGTACATAAAAATATATTATTCAATACAGTGATAAAGGCTATGTCGATTAGCACTGCATTATAACTATACATTATCCTTATGAAAAATACCTGAGATGTCTTGAAGAAAACTCATAAACCATACACTGGTGCAATGGTGAGCTAATTCTCTTCACGTTTCAGTCACTAATGATCAGCACTCATTTTCATGGGCCAGTATAAAAGGAGAAAGTGATGTAAAGTCACACACAGGAGACAGTGCGATGCTGTGTGTCTCTGTGTCTTCAGTCTCTGCTGATTGTGTGACTGTGACGTCTCTGTACGCCATCAGCTGATCCCGGGGAAACTGGACTGACGTCTAAATACTGTGGGTCCTTCAATAAAACACACAGACAGTCACATATGAGTATGAGACATTACTGCTGTCACATCACATCAGCAAATCCACTTCAGAAAAAACACAGTATATTCATATTACAGCCAGAGACACAAATGAACAACTGATCACAGATTAATAACAATAAATGTTCAACAACTCTATCACTTAAGAGACACTGTAAGAGATGAAAATATTAATATATTAATAAATCAGTATCACAGAATTAAACGGTTTAAAGGGGTGGTTCACTGTTTTTTTTCTAGGCTTGATAGTGTTTATGGTTGCAGTCTAACATGTGTTAATGCTTCGTTTTTTAAACAATGCATTATTTTTCACATAATTTACCTTTATTCCACACCACTCTGTCCCTTCTCTGAGAAATGCACTGATCATTTCCTTCTTTTATGAAGCCCCTCCCTCAGAAATATGCAATGGGCTCTGATGGGTTAGTTAGCCCGGTGTGTTGTGATTGGCTAAACCGCCTCTAGTGTGCGTCTAAGCGTCCCGCCCCTCTCCTCAGCGGCATGTGCTCCGGTTGTATTGTAAACAACGGCGTCGTTAATATCGATTATCAGTTTGGGCTGATGAGTCGCAGAGGATATTATTGAAGAGGATCGTGCAGAACCTGTGCAAGCACCGCATTTAATGGTAGGCCTATGTTTTTTTTGTCTCATACTTTTAGATACGCTGTTATGTGTAAATGCTACTGCTTATGTTAGCTTTTAATATACGGTTTTATCCTGATTAAAGCTTTAATACAGCACGGCAACCACATGTTTAACACTTCTCATAGCTATGTGAAAATAAGTGTATAATAGTAACAGTTCATTGTTGGAGCTGAGCTGAATAAGAGAGAAAGAGATGCAGAGCAGGAGGCGCGAGGAACAGTATTAAGAACCGCTGCTTTAGAACATTGATTTTGAAACTTGTGAATCCATTATAATCGTTAGCCGACAGAATCGTGATTCATATATGAATAGATTTTTACGTGCATCTCTAGTTTTCTCTTCCTCTTCTCTAAAGCAGCGCAGCATGGCCCCGCCCCCTTTGCTGCCTTTTCCCGGGGGCGGGGTTTATCAGGGTTTGTGAAGTCACACAAACAGTTTGTGAAGTCACAAACCTGGGACGTAACTTGTTGTAGTCCCAACGAGTCATTTTTGTAGGCATTAAACTGCCAGAATTTTAAAAGACGATATCTCCGTTTGCATTGAACTTTCAGCTTCGTAACTTTGCAGATATTGTTTATGATCAAACAGCAACATTACACACTAACTAACGTCAAAAAAGTGAAATTGCAATGAACCACCCCTTTAAATTACAGACACTAAATTGGAACTGAAGTATCTTATTTTCTTCAATTACACACACAGGAGATCTGTTACTGAACTTGGGTCAATATAAAAACTTTAAATAACCAAACACTCACTATAGTATAATGTCTCCAGTTTATAATGTGGATCGTCCTTCAGATCAGAGAGTAACTTCACTCCAGAAACTCCTAGTTCATTCAGTGACAGATCCAGGTGTCTCAGGTGTTCAGGGTTTGATCTCAGAGCTGAAGCCAGAGCAGCACAACCTTCATCTGTGACTCCACAATCTCTCAACCTGTAGAGAACAATGACACAGTTTGAATTGTAGTTCAAATGTCTTCAGTTTGTTATTGACTCTGCAAAGTCTCAGAGCAGGAGAGGAGATATAATGACAAGCATTGCCACAAACGGCTGCTGATAGAATGAGATATATGCATGTTGATGCTCAGTGGTGATGTTTGAAACGGTCATGTGCTTCAGGACTGAACAGACACACAAATCTGAATGTGAGATATTGTAGTGATAATAAGGGCAGAGCTGTCTGTACTTGCACCTCTAATAAACACCTACAGGAGGACATTTGCTTCACAGGAGCCACGTTCCCCATTACATCTCTCTTGTGATCAAACACAGAATTGTGTCATGTTTGGTCTCATCTGGCAGCTTAAAACAGTATAGAAATGTATTGGACTCAATAGAGATACTCAAGTTCTTAATGTACAAGGAAAGAACTACTGCCTACACATGCACCGAAATCATGTTAATGAGCTTTTCTTCTGGCACATGAACTTTCTTTTCTTAAAGGAGACATATTATGCCCCCTTTTTACAATATGTAATATAATGTCTCGTAATATAGTGGTACGGTACAGTACAGTTCGGTACAGTACGATTTGGTACGGGTAACCCTGATCCAGCTTGCGTTTCCACTGCCAATAGTACCCTTCTTGATAGGCGTGGTGTATGCCGGAAAGTAGCGATCGACGATAAAGCGCGACAATAAGCACAAATCTACCTCTTTTTGTTAAATGTCAGTTTTAATAAACAATAATAGCCATTATAAAAGTATAAGTACAAAGCATAAGAGGCTTATATAAGAGGAAATAAAGACAAAACTATTGTAAACAATAAGAAAAAAAAAAAGTTGGTGCCAACTTTTCTCTTATGTTTGGTTTATAACCAGTGTTTGTTTAAAATATTGAACAAGCTATATAATTTAGTTATGAGCCGTAACAGTGATGAACAAGTCAGGTCAAAACTGATATAGAATAGTCAGATTATGCTACCTAATATGTATAATTCAATAGATTATGTTGCTAACTACAATTTTCATAATGTAATTTGTAATCAGTAATGGAATAATAATAATTTGTGAGTTATCAGTAAGTGATCATTTGTAAAGAGCAGCTCATGTGTTACAGCTCAGTCAGTTGAACTCAGCAGCAGCAGAAAGAGGCTGAACACCCTTAAAATATACTTTATAACGTGCTTCATGCGAGAGAGTCATATATGATCTTACCACAGTTTCTCCAGTTTACAGTGAGGATTCTGTAGTGCATCAGAAAGCAGCTTCACTGAATCTCCTAGTTCATTCCACGTCAGACTCAGTTCTCTCAGGTGTGAGGGGTTTGATCTCAGAGCTGAAGCCAGAGCAGCACAACCTTCATCTGTGATTCCACACTTACTCAACCTGTAGAGAACAATGACACACTCTTCATTCTATCAGATCAGATCAGTTTAGCTGTGAATCCATTATTAAAGAAAAGGTACAAACTTAAAGCACAAATCAATATGTTTGATAGATCATTGGACGGTTTAAAATGTCACAGAACACAAATCATGATCATAAAACATCCAGAGCCTCAATCAAGCAAGATAAATTATATTTCTTATATGCACTATATCTGTATTTTCCCTAGCAAGGATCACGCCGCACTGCAAATGTTGGGAAGTAATCTTTATTGTATAAATGTAGGGATGAAAGGGGAAGGGTAGGAGGGATAAGGGGAAGGGATGATAGGTTGATCTGGGTGTCCGTTGGTGGCCCGGG